GCTCCCGAACCAAGTTTGCCATGTGACGAAAATTCTGATAGACGAGAAAAGGTCAAATTTTTTATAATGCTTATCCAGCTTTGTTATGCAATCGGCTTCACAATGACTCCACATTTTTTGAGATGCTCACGACATGGTCGCGCAAGACCAAACCTCTCTAATGGATCCCGGTTTTCTGTCAGAAGTTCAGTTCCAATCATTGGAGGATCAAATAACGTGTCAGCTAGGGTGGGTTTATTGTTGAAAGGAATGCTCTACAATCATTGCAAGAAAAATTTCAAAATTTCCGAAATAGCGTCAAAATTATTTGGATGTTGCATTTTCAACGTTTTTTTTCAACTTTTGCTGACTGTTGATAAAACGTCAGGATTTTCCGAGGCCTGAAAGTGTTCAGGCTGACGAGACAGCAGAACTTCTACTCAGAATGGATCAAGAACCCGAGTCGAAGCCCCTGGCTTGCCTGCCCAACGTAAAGAATTCGCCTCCCGATATGTCTCCGAACGGAGAAGCTGTAAGATAATAGTTTTTTTCACCATTCTATGAAGTTACTTTGTGCTCAAGCACTATATATTTTCAAGTATACTAAGTTAAGGACAAGGCGGTTATATTAGTGTGATGCATGAACCCAAATACGGGAAGCACTAGTGCTGGCGCGAATCCTAACAAATCTATTTTGTAAATTTGTGATTTGACAATTCTGTTCGCAGGAGGTTGGATATAATGAAGGCGAAACTCCGCAACAATCTACGGAAACGCCATCTCAGCAAGCATCTGCTTCCACAAGTGCGGAACTCTCTCACGTATGTTTTACTTTTTATTACTTAATAGTATCGCAGTGTTGTAAGCTCCTAAAGTGACGCGCAGGGTGGATTTGAGTGGGTGAATTGAAAAGTCCCCTAAAATATACAATTTCAATTACTAATTATGCTATAGGCAAAACAGGGAGAAGCGTACGATTCGGAATCCAAAAAGCCCAGTTCTGGGCTCCTGACGCGCGGTCGTCGAGCGATTGTCAAGCCTCGAGTGGTGGTTGTAAAAGACCAATGCTTTGAACAGGTGAGCGCGGAAATCTTTTGACATTTTTCTTTTTTTGTTCATGCAATCGAAATATTGTTTAATTATTGAACACGGGTGAAAACGCGCTTAGTACCACAGGTGAGCGACATCGCCAAACGTTCTTTCAGGCTGCATCAAAAGACGGAGACTCCAAAAATGCCATCGCAATAAGTAAAGCGCCCATATCAGGTTTGGACGAATCATCCCCGGAGAGTTCAACTCCTGTCGAAGATGCTACCGGTCAACATGAGAAGGTTCGTTGAATATATGCCTGCTCGTTCATTTTTGTTCTTTTAACTTCAGGGATTTCCATGTGATGGCAAAATAATAGTGAGAAATTCAGGCAACTGTTGCCAATGAATTGTCTGAGACTGGTGAAAAGGCTCCGGTGCTCCTTAGACGTGGTCGACGTCCATTAATCAAACCTATAGTGCCAAAATCTGAAACAAACAATAAAAAAGCTGATGAAACTAGTCAAATTAATGCCGGAAGTGATGGCCCTACTGACAAGGTGGAGGTTTTCTCATAATTTTCTAGTCGTATGGCTCAATAACACGTGCAGGGTAAAAATTGTTTGTCCAGGACTAGCAAATGCTACCATCTGATTTCTTCGACGTTCTTTTTTTTGTTATTGAGCTATAGAGTATTTGAAACTAAGTGTAGGAAGCTCATGTTTATGAGTCATCCCCGAGTATTTGTAGCCGGCTGCACTTGCTGCGGCTGCCCGACCAAATACTCGATTATGTGGGAAGAAGCGTTTACCCTATTCCATAGATAAGAGCGGTTTAATTTACCGGTGAAAAATGAATTGGAAAAAATTTAAATTGAATGCAGTNTAAAATCGCTATTTTCTATACGAATTGTTTATTAAGTGGACGGGGTTTAGGTTAGAGGGGTGACTGCATTCAATTTCAATTTTTTCCAATTCATTTTTCACCAGCAAGCTAAACCGCTCTTATCTATGGAATTTTAGGGTATTTCCTTCTACAGTTATCTATGTTGTTTAAATGCTTTCTACAGAAGCAAATTGTTTGTCTCAAACCATCTGACGGAGTAATGTCACCGAGCACTTCAGAGACTGGATTGGGTGTTTCACCTCCTAGGAAGGTATAGCGATAAATCTGTTACGAAGCTCCCTTCTTTGAGAAATTCTTTCGCCTGAAGATCGAAAAACAGTTCCCCTTTCAAAGCATTCTTACCTATGCTGCTACTAACAAGTTGACTATTCTCATTCAGAGATCATGTCTCGAATCTCCGGAAAGTGGCGATTCATCGAAACTTACGCGTTCTCGGCCAAGAATCAGCGCTCGGCTATCTCGTGGATCAGGGAAGCAATAGCGTTATTACGTTCTATGATAGAGTTCTCTATGAAATGTTGTTGGCAATTTGGATATCATTTTTCAATGTAATTTCAAATCTTACTAGATAGATGACCTATATAGACTACGTAGACGTATAACCTTAGCGTTATGCTCGGCTTGTAAAATTGTACGTAGAGCGATCTCGTGTGTGCAAATCGTTTTTATTGATTTCGTCATGATCATTCACTGTTTTGCTGTTATCATTGTTTGGATATTGGCTTGTTTATAGTTGACCTTTGATGTTGTTGATGTTGTTAATAAGGCAGTTCTTTTTAGTGATAGCGTTTATTAGCAACTATTCAAAAAACTTAACAATTGACTTTTATCAGATAAATTTATTAGCTAATGCTAGAACCTTAGCAAATTGAGCATTGTCTTTCTTTTCTAGGAGCTTGATCGGTATCGGTGAGGTTATTCGGTTCCCGAGCGGATTTCCTAAAATAAGCACAGTCGATTTTGCTAATTCGAGCCAAGATGGGCGTGGGTACGAGTGCATGGGATTGTTAAGGACGAGTAATGATTTTAATACCCGAACCAAACAATGCCGAATCGCCCGCAGGTGAGAACTCAAAATTTTTGCACAGCATGGTCGAACGCTGTTCGTCGAGTGGAAAACGTACAGAAGACTTGTCAAAGGGGGTGGATAGATGTGCTGGGAATCTCTATCAGTGAGTGCACAAAATGCCTAGATGAAGCGTTTTGACTAGTTTGAGAGCATATTTGGGACTATGGGTACGTGGTCACTCTCGTTATCCATGGCACAATTTTAGAATCCTATAAATTCTTTAGCATAAACACGCTCGTCCCAGAACTCACCTTCTTCATCTAGCAGCACAATATTGTTAGTATCAGTAGATGGAATTCCATGTTTGCGGTAATGAACATGAGTGTTTGCCCCAACAACATAGGCTTTACGCATCTGGCCACGAATTGCGACAAGAATCTTAAAAGGAGTACTCAAACGATTTGGAAAGAAAACCTATGAAACGTTCTCACCTTATCGCCAAGAGTTGCATGAGGAAGATGCTTCTTTCGTCGACCTTGTTTGTAAACATCAATGCAATACGCTCGTTTACCAGTCGTATGAGCTTCTTTACCAAGCGCTGAGTTGTCCACAACATTTAATCGTGTCCGTCGGTGGATACCCATACTTGGAGGACGAGTTCGATGTTTAGACATTTCATAGCTAAAGACCTATATAGTTTCAGACTTGAAATCCTACATATCCGACAACGATCTTGAAAATTTCGAAAGCAAAATGACTTTATTGACTTTTAAAACTCTTCATGTATAATTTTCGCTTCAATCGACGAAGAAAATCCCGCACTTACATAGAAAGCTAAATTTTGCGTATTACATGATAAGTTTGTTTACCAAAGCCTATTAAACTATTCTGGACTGCATCTGTTTTCTCACAAATGACTTAAGACTTTATTGACACAGCTATCAAAGGCTGCCTATCAAATGCCTTCACTACACAAAATAAGCTCCATTCCATACTTTAGATTTTTTGACATCATCGCTAGCATTTTCATGTCTATAAGGGCAATGCCTACAACCATTACCACAACAGGTACCCCTATACAAATGATGAGATACAGTAAAAACAACATAGCCCGTAAAAGGATCTTTATATTTTAATTTACGTTGCTGAACAGCTTTCAAATGTGCCAAGTAGATAGTTCGTTCATCCCTAGTCATCCGATCGTAAACGTTCCAGGGCACCTTCGAACGCTCCATCGATGCCTCGAAGAGTACGTAGTTTGCTATTTGCTCGCCATCTTTCCAGGGAACTAATTCGAAGCCAGTTTTTCCTTCTCCTTTTGGCTTATAATACACTGGAGCAGCGTCTTCCTTCACTAGCCGAATGTCACCCTGAGAAGTTGACACAACTATGTCCGAGTTTGTCGTAGTCATCTTTGTGGAGAAATGTCGCCTCGATGTGCAGGAGCTTAAAACGACGTAACTTAGAGAATAGAAAAGATAGAAAGACACTCATCCTCTTTGAAAATTGCAATTTTTCTACATCACATTGAAGAGCAATCAGGAGGGACGCACAATGAATGTAGCAGAAGACTAAGTACTCAATGGAACAAGCATAGAAGATCATAATGAAGTAGTAGAATATACGAATGATTGGATGATAGCTTATGATTAGCTTGATTTTGTCTGGCAACCGGACTGGCAAATAGATTGATTCAATAGAGAGGAACCTTTACTGTTGCAGATTACCTCTGGTGAACATTAGAATTGCCTGGAACCAGCCACCCCAGTATAAATTCAATTCCTAAGCCTATTTTTCGGAATTCATGTCTTTCAAGATTGACTGTAAACCACCTTCCTTCACAATCTCAACACGGCTGCATTATATCCGTAGTCCGTTGCGAGATGCTCTTGAGCTAATTAAAAGAAAATTCACAAAAGGGATAAAAGTTTTATTCACTCACTCAGGTTGAGGATACCATCTTCCGGAGGCAAACTGTACAGAAGTAGTTACAGGGGAATAAATTCGACTTAAAATACGTGTTGTAGCGCTACCACATTTTACCAGTGCAGCGGCGAGGTCCATACCTAGAACAAAGTGAAATCAACATCAAAACGTATCACTGAGCCTTAGATTTTGAGGTTTTATTTCCAGCTCGAAGACATAAAATAAACTTTTAGAATGATGTCAACTATAAAGAACACGAAAAGAATTTGTGAAGGATACGAAGTTCTGCACTTACGACTACCCGAATTTAGGCAATTTCTAGGAAATGACTCATATAACTGATTGTCCTACAATACCTATCCATGGGGGAGCAATACCTTCAATCCGAAAATTTCGAAATACCAGTGAGAAAGGTTCAGACCGATCCAATAAATAAGAGAAAGTTGGACATTTGATAAAGGGAAAGCACAAGAAAAAAGTGCGGTCACCAGATCCGCGTCAGTGGTTGATTTGCGCAACATTGGTGCACTGGTGTATTTTTGTTTTGGATTAACTTTTGTTCCATTTACCCCACCCATTTCGTTGTTAAAAGCCATAGTTGCTAACTAATTGTCATAGAAGTTAGCAGTTCTTAGTTTCTTTGTTTGCTTTAGATCAATCTGCTTGGTTGTAAAATGATGGTAACATTAATTCTCTTAACCTTAATTTAATTACTAGCAAAAACAACCTCTAGCATCTAGGATCCGAATAATTGTTCTGGTTCGGAGAATGATTTGTTTTAGCTTCCTACAGGGTAATCCATTGTGCCAGTGGTCTGAAATGCGTTTGTTTTCTTAGGGTCTTCCACCTCTTTGAAACAACATGATTACTGCGTAAATTGTTTTGTTTATCCAGTTCCTGCATTTTTTTGACTGGTGAATTCATCTGGAATAAACCTGAATACCGAGTATATACTTAGCAGTATCTTATCTTTTCTCTCTAAATCACGTTGTGCGAGCGGTTTCCTGGTCTTGAATCAAAAACGTTGGAACTTTTATGAAGAAACTGAATGTTAACTTCCGTAATGCTGCTGATCCACTTCTTAATAAACCGAATTCATTATTTTCAAACCTTTGATTGTGCTAGAAAGGATCGGATGCTACAATTTGAAAGCTGGCTAAGTTCTTCACCAATGTGTGTCGTTCATGTTATTGTTTCTGTGAGGGATGTTGGTGTTGTTTTTCCAGGTGATACTCCTACGATATTAGGATGACGTCACTGAGTAAAATGGTACCGGTGGCATCACGTGGGCTTCTGAAGCCAACCTCATTCGTGATGCCTGCCATACGAGAATCTCACGCCGCTCTGTTTAGGAAGAGACCTGCTCAGCTCATCACCAATAGGATTAAGGTAATATACTCTTGAATTATTTTCTCTAATTCCACGCTAGGCGGCTACTCTGTACGAAAACTAGTAATAATCCTTGCCTAATACATAGTTTTCCCACTGAAATATTGACTAAAGTTACATTGCTGCGAAACCCTTGTATGATATCTGTTCACTCATCCCAACTAATCGCTCGTTAGAAAAGGCGGTGCCCGGGAACTTGGTGCTTCCTGCCAGTCTTCCCTTAGTTTCACTTTTCCTGCGAGATTCTGTTTCGATGGATTAATTCTATAATATTGAGAGGACAGCGTTTTCAATCGCGCAAAGCGCTTCGGGTCATGTAGTGCGACTGCGAGTGCGAGGTGCTCAAATGTGAAGCTCTGTTTTAATAGAATAGCGCTAAACTTCGTCGCACTTCCCATGCGCCTACTTATGCCTCCCACATCATTTTAAAGCTACTCAAAATGCGTTTTGTGATCTAGGCTCTACAATGTGTTGTAAGGCTCGTTCTGCCGACTTATTTGTCTATGAGTCTCGAAAAGAAAGGAATCGACAATTTTCTATTCCTTCTTATGGAAGAATAAAAGCCCTAGTTGTATTAGGTGTCTTCTATTTGAGTCATTATTTGCATAGTATGAGTGAAACTTTCACATATACCATTGGATCTGATCGTAGTGGAGAGAGCTATATGGATTTCTACAAACTCCTAACTTCTTCATTTTTTTTCTTACAGGATTACTGCCATTTTTATTTCTTTGGAATCGGAGTGTTTCCGATCATGCTCTGTCTAGCTTATAATCACATAGTGTATGGAACTTGCGAACTGCGGGATTATCCTGAGGTCAGCTATTAGTTCATATATTGTGTGGTATCATCATTGTTACATATTAACACCTCAAACTTGAATGGCTTTTTGGATTCCGTATGCTAACTGATTTTCCATTTGAATACAAGTTACAACGAACCACTATACTTCATTCTAAGAAGCGGTCGGTATATTTCGGATCAGTACATTTCCCGAGGAGGAGGGCAGATAGTTGTAGCAATAAAAAACAGATTTTTTTTCGTTTTCCGAACGTTTTTTTTTCGCTCCGTGGCTCAGAAGCTCACCAAACTACGATTAGCATTACACACGTTGAAGAACAGATAGGCTCTGTCAAGATGTTTTTTTCTGAATGACCATCACCTCAAAAGTGGTAATTCTCATCTCCAGGACTACTCAAGCCTGTGAGCTTGCCTCAGTGTAAGCGTTCAATTTACGAAAGTTTCTTTTCTTTATCAGGGTGAGCCTCCGCACTACTGGCAGTTTGAGAGAACACCAGTACGTCAATGGTGGGCGAAACATTTCGGAGTGTCGGACATCGAACATCATGAGAGAAATCTTGCTTACTACGAAAAAACAGGAATACAAGCCAGATGGAGGTGAAGTGTGGATTTCTTATCAATTATTCTGATATTGTCAAAACTAGATGCGAAAATACAGACATTAGTTTGTTGAAAGATACAATCTCGTTTCCTGAAAAAGTGGCACATGATTACAGTAGCTTGTCAACCTTGTGAATGTAGCTTATCCGTAGCTAAATTCTCTCACAGGGTAGAAAAAAAGTTGGAGAAGAGAGCGAATGGGAAGGATTGTAGGTGTTAGAAAGTGCGTCATGCCTTTCATTATGTTTTGCGTCAATTAGTCATTCAGTTTTCAATTTAGCCTCTCTGTTTGAAATGATGTAAACTGCAATTTTTTGTTTTGTGCATAGGGAAAATAAGCATGTTTGTAAGCCAAGAGTTAAAGCGTAATTCGGATGGTGTACATATTGGAAGTATTGGAGGATGCGAATTTGGAGTAAGGTGTTTAGTTCTCAAGAGAAAAGTCGCTATACCTTAGAATGGCCCTGTTCTGTAATGGAATGGGAGAGTGTCGGCCGCGGTGAAAAGCTAAGTCTATAGTTTTATTGTGCTCACTGTATTCAGTAATTTCTGAGAAAATGATAGATTTCTTTATATACTTTCATAGTCTTTTCTATTCCTCGTATAGATGATGTAGTATCTTTACAGTTGTACCGTTGGTTGTGCCTAATGAACCACCTCTGATGGGGTACAACTGCGCATTTTCATGCTTAATTTGATATATCCCAGCTTTTGTAATGCATTTCTTTTTTTAGGCAAATTGAGGAGCGTGTGAAACATCTGGAATCCGAGCGTTGGGATTACAAGGCATGGAGTTATCAACCGGTGTCGTCTACTTGGGTGGACCTGGCAAGATGGCATTCCTTGCGTCTCCGAGACCAATATGAACAACACGGACATTATCCACAGTAATTTGTTTGGTAAGTGGGCATTTTAGGACTTAATGGAGAGCGACAACCCGCTTTGCGCAGGTATATCTGCATATCTGATCAAAATGTTCCAATTTTCAGTCGTGGCTATCGCGTTGTGGCAACATGCATCCAGCGATACCTGTCTGTTGGGAGAGTAGACTTATTTTTAGTGTATTGTAAATATCGAATAAAGTTAGAGTGTGAACTCTTGTACGTGTTATCGTTTGTTGTGCCTACGCTCTAACGAGTTATCTCGACTTTTTTTTGAGTTTTGTTTTTATATATGATATTTTGCAGTCAATTTCGTCCGCATTCCAACAAAAATATCGGGTTGTCATGCAATTTTCGCAGCGATTCAAATATATATGAGTAGGTTTCTCTGTAAATTGTTTTGCTAATGTTGATTGGCTGTTTGATTTTGATGGTAAACAAGCTTGCCTTCGTACAGTGAGACATTTTTGCGGTCTTAGCCCTGAAATAAACAGACCACTGAGCTTGCCCTAAGTGCATCTTGTCAACAGACAGTTTTGCTAATTATTTTACCGCGAGAGACTTTCTCTTCGCCCCCTGCCCAGGTCTCTCCTGACCATGCACAGTATGGCTCGTTCGTGCAACAAACGAATGTAGATTACTAATCCGGAATTATTGGATGGTGCTTCCTTGGTGCTTCATAACTGCACATTTGCTTGCGTAGCAAGCTCAGCACACGGAGCAACTGCCACTGGTTTTACGCCTTCTTATACCAAAGTACAACTTCTTCCGTGGGAATTCCCTTTCTCCTTCTCTCGTATTAGTGAAATTTCGTAGTTTTGTCGATGAATTCATCCCTTCACCCAAATATCGTTGTTCCAGAGTATGATTTCAAGTTTTCTTTTTATCTTAATCATGCAATAAATATACTAGTGCGAGGATTCATCTTCCTTTTGCTAAAGCCTTGTCATGGCAACAGCCCAGCTAACAACTATCCTTAAATTGTTTTCCTCCATAGGTCAACATATATTTAAATGTACGAGTAGTGGTGTGATTCAACGAAATGATATGCTTACGAAGTAAGAGTTGCCCTAGAGATTGTTTGCTTACCGATAATATTCCAGTAGGGACCTAGACGTGATTGTGATTGGAAATGAGCAGAACTTCGCTGGCTCCAATTTCAGATTCATTATAATGATGATTTTCAGTTGAAATTGACGCACCGCTAAGTTCAGCATGCTCGAGAATATTGTTGCTTGGGTGCTTAACAATTATATTGGAGAATATTTGGAAAATCTCAACACCGACCAACTCTCCGTTGCTCTCTTGTCAGGTGAAATTGTTTTTACATTTCAGAGTCTTCGGGAAGGTTCTCACCGTTTCCATACCTTCTAACCTCTTTTATTTGCAGGCCAGGTAGAGTTGGAAAATGTGCCTTTGAAAAAGAGCGCATTGAGAAAGCTCGACCTACCCATTGAAGTGAAATCTGGCCTTCTGGGCAGGCTCACTTTATCGGTTCCGATAACCCATTTGAGAAGCGAACCATGGGCTTTGAGAGTACGCTGCTTTCATTACTTTAATCTAATAATTGCCTCTCCATTGGGTGTGAATTTGAAAACAAAACGTTTTTTTTTGTGTTTGTGATTAATTGTATGTCCTTTGTAGTTTCATGCTTTAGCTTAGTGATGTACTTGTTATCGTTGGCCCACCGACACCTGACCGTCGGTATGATGTCGAGGCTGTGGAACGGGTAGAGCAACAGAAAAAGGAACAAATGCTAGATGAGCTGGAAAAGCGACATAAGGTGTTCATGAAAAGCCCTTTGGTGTTTTTTTCTCTGGAATTTCCTCAATAAATGTCAATGTTGCAGGCAGAGTTGTTGTCTTACCTCGGGCTTTCAGTCCCAGCTTCTCAGGATACTTGGTGGGGCGCATCCTTGATATCAACTGTACTAAATAATATTCAGGTAGCAATACTCTTTCCTTCGGAATAATATTTCGAGGCAAGGTTGACATCCATTTCTGTCAAACTCGAGAAATTGTATGCTGTATTTCAGTTAATTCTTAATAATGTTCATATTCGTTATGAAGACGATTTATCGTTACCAAATGGCTTAGTGTTTAATTGTGGAGTGCGGATACGAAAGATGACTATGCAAACGACAAACGCTTCAGGGGTGAGTATTTTCAAGGTTTCTTAATATCTATTTCATATCGCACTATTATATGTATATGAATGTCCCGGATTGAATCACTGATCGATGCACGTCCAGATCAACCAAGCCTTCCATTCCTGCGGGTTCGGTTGATTAGTATCAGGCTCGTCGGAAGCATAAAGGCGCTCACTTGTATATCAGCTGGTCACCGCAAGTCGTTCTACAGACTACATACGCATTGAAATCCCCACTACGCCACTCTCAACAGAAGTCGAATGCGAGGAGCATCTCAAAGCGGGATTGTTTGACGCACAATACTCCATCCTTTTTATTGTCAAGAAATGACAACACTGGCTGAAGAGTTCAAAGCTTTCGTTGCCCAACGACGCGCTGGCAATCAATCTCATGCGAAGTACACAGGTGCTTATGACAATGTCGGGCCTTTTGAAATTTGGAGCTTTCGAGAAGCATCTATCCCGTTTTGAAACAGTCAACTTCGCTTCGTTTAGCAGTTCTGTTAAATTCATATTCCTCTTCAGTCCTCCTTACTTTTGACGATGCTGATACTCATTTGTCTCTCAGGATAATTGCAATACCGAAAGAATAACGTTGAATAATCCCTCGAACTTCCTCCCATTCGAGCTTCAGCTTTCTTCAGTCTAACATGTCTTAAGCCTTGTAGGTTCATTGTTATCTACAGAGTTCCCATTTTTGAAGTCCGCGTTTGATGGCTTCAGATTCAGAACGGTGTGTGAAATGTTGTGATCATCGACAAACATCCAATCGAACAGTATTATGTAGGATTCGTGATGCAGTTTCCTCGGTGAGGGGACATTGAAGCAGAACGAATGATCATGGTGTTTGAAAACATATTTCGGATTCAATGCCATATCACAATAAAGCTTTCTTAATCTTCTCACTCATTTTTAGAAACCTGGTTTCATCGAACCTCAGAATGGTGTAAATATTTTCAAAAAGCTGGAACTGAAGGGTTTCAGCATGTATTGGAATTCGGATGTCAAGCTATCGAAAGACATAGAAACACCTAAAAATTTGCGGGTACGAGTTTTGAAATGTTCAACATCCTTCTAGTTTATTTTCTTTTGCTAGATTGCTGTAGTGTAAAAATAATTTTTAGGATATTCTCGCCCCAGAAAACCCAGACAGCTCTTTTATTATACATCCATGTAGTGCAGAACTACGCATGGAACGTAACTCAAGTAAATTTCCTTTAAAAGGACCCACACCGCGATTCAAAGTGAGTTCATAAGTCGGAACGGTGGCTCTGCTTTGATTTGCCTTTCAAAACACTTTCGCCTCCCATTCAGTTTTTCCTTCGACCTGAAAAGATTACGGTGGAGATGACTCGTCGGCAAATAGCTGAGTTACGAGCCTTGAACAGGGAATGGGCGCGATTTGAACGAGCACGTCAGCACAGGAAGTGGCGACCTTTAGTTCGTGTCTCAGAAAAGTAAGGCCTTTGGGGTTTTTCTTTTCTAGTTTCTAATGATTTTTCAACCTTTTTTTTGTTAAGAGAAATGATACACAGTCATATTGTCTTGAAAAGAGCAATTCATAGCCACATATATCTTTTCCAGCCCCGCTGCATGGTGGCGATTTGCTTATAATCGTGTCAGCGACGATGCCCGTCGAGTACATTCACGACGTTCGTGGCATTTTGCATTGACACGGGCTCGACATCTGAATGCCTACTGCAGGGCGTACCGACGACGCCTCTTAGCTATGATAGATGATTCAACCACTACGTGAGTGACCAATGGAAATAAGAGTACTATTCTGAATTTCTTAATGTAACAAACTTCTAAGACTGTTTTTTTTTTCAATATTCGCCTCCGATAGGCTGTCGGGACTTCATTTATACCTCACTTACTGTAGTTTACCTTATCTTTAATGCCTTCTTATCTAAAACTCTAAACGTTTCCGGACTCTATAGTTTTCTCGTATTTTTTAGCGTAGCCTTGTTTAGTGTATATGGTCACGGCATCTATGAAAAGGAAAAGAGAAATTTCCGGCGTATGTAAAGTTAGATCTTTCCAGGCGAAGCAATACGGACACTACTGATAGAAGCAAAGAGTCACCTGGTAAGGTATCAACTCCAGCTATAGGATCTCATGAAGACATAGCTATTATGAAACAAATAGAACGGGATTCGCAATACACTTATCATGTAAGTCGGATCCATTAGCCTTGTAGTATTTAGGAAATCGCTGTTTCAAAGAGGGAGATTTGTCCCACTTAGGATGCGTAGTACTAAAATTCTCTTTTCTTTTGATGTTTTGGGTTCCCATGCATGATTCGAACAGCTCATATGTCTTTTCAACCTCTATCTCTGTGGTTTTAGACATATCTGATTTCTGATATCGACTAAAAAATTCTGATCACTGAAGCTTCATCTGAAATTAGATTCGTTTTGAGCTCTCTAAGAGCCTGGGAATGTTGATAAAAGGATGGTTCTGTTATGATTCTTAGATGATTTGCGTAAAATGTTGATCTCTTAGTCTCGCCTTCTTGACATACTCAGTGTGCTATGAAATAATTAGCAAACATCATATCCAAAACTATGCTGTTTCTATGTATGCACACTTTTTGCTTAACGATTCTTCATCTTCCTATTCACAAGCCCATTCCATACAACCTCCTTCTGCTAGCAAAGCTCATGATTGTGTCTCTGTCCACTACTAGTTTGTTCATTTTTCCAGGAGTTGCATTTGTTTCGTGAAACGGTGTTCCGACGTATAATGCGAGAAAAGAGCAAAGCGAAGGGGCCAGACGTGTCGCCTGGATATGAGGATACGTTCGAAACAATTGACAACGCACTGGATGAGATACCATCATCACACATGCTGAACACGGTTCAAAAAGAGGAAGGCCGTGGTTTGTATGGTTGGATTACCAGCTTCTTCACGCCAGAGGAGAACAGTGGGTCCTACTCAGCTCATCTTTAGAAGTGTATTCAGTTTTGGAAAAGGCGCTTTCGTGTCACGCTACTTGTTGTTATTTTTTAGAAGTTGAAAAAGTTGAGCCGATCGATTTTGGAAAATTCGATTCTCATGAGTTCAAGGATCTTCCGAAGTCGTTTAATGTGAAGGTGCAATTTTGTTCCAGTCAATTTTTAACCTTTTGCTTATTGCTAGTACAGTATTCCTCTCCACTAAAGTGAATTTTCATTAGGAAATGGAGGAAGAGATCCTTGACGTGCTGCATGAGTCCTGGGACGACTCCACTCTCCTTCGGCGTGATGTTCTCTTGGCTGAGATTGCAATGCGTCTTGAACACATAACATTGCGATTTATCGATACAGTAGTATGTTTTTAATGAGCTAGTGCTTCCTTACACAATTACTTTAGCTACTGTGTTCAAAAAGTGTTTGCAGGTTCTAGATAAGGTAGAACAAAAGCGTGTTCTTGCTATGGATCTAACTGGAGTTACGTCGAGGGTTGAACTCAGTCCACGGCAACATTCTTTGGTTGTATCACTAGCAGTTCATGATATGAGCATACAACGATTGCGAATTGGACATTCGCCGCCAAAGGTTAGTTTTAAGTTGTGGCAAACTTAGATGATGAGAGGAGGGCTGCGGTTTCTTTGTGTTGCTAGTATAAGGTGGTGCCTCTGCTATTATTGTGCTTCTCTTATGAAATGGGTTGATGCCAGCCCAAACAGTTGAGACTGCATCGATTACACTAATTGGTACCACACTCGGAAACTCTGAAATGATTAGCTTTTAGCATGGGCTGTTTTTTGCAACCAATTGTATAGGTCAAATATGCATTGAAGTGCCACTTTGGCTTTGAGTGAAATCGAGGTCGTCGCTGCGTCCGAGAATGGAATTGGAGAACAATCAAAACTATTTACTTTCTGATTATGGAGTTTATTAATGGAGTTTCTCTTGATATCGTTGAAACAAAACTCGACGAAACAGACATTGTGATTGTGGTACACATCCTGGAAATTATTTTTTCTCATTGCTGTGATCTCACCTTTTAGATCCAGATTATACTAGAAAGCTTTGTGCTGTTTAGATTCCTATTACTCGCTCAACTGAATTTTGATTTATGTGGTGTTCAGAAAGTCTTCAATAATCTGTTTACAGGACGGCCACTCAGACGATGAACTTGATCAGTCGTTTATGTTTTCGTTGGTTGAGTCGACGAAAATTCTTCTAGCTGTTGGACGGAAAGACAGCATTGGAGCAAATACGGAGCCACTGTTCAGGTTTGGAGATGGTCGCGTTTATTGCAAGATTTTTACTGATGAATCGAGAACTGAGTGTTTAGAATGCTTTACCGTCGGCGGTCACCTCGTTTAACTGTGCGACATAACGTAGAAGGCAGTTTTCATCCGATCTCTATTATGTACGAAGAAAACGCTCTTAATGGCCTATCTAGCCTGTTTGCTGATGACCCGAATATTTTTATTTCTGTAGGTTTTCACAAATTGAGCTATACCTCGAAGAATTCTGGTTCGCTAGAAATTTACTATCATAGTTCAGAGCGAAGTTCTCAACACTGTTACGCCGAATAATCAACAAATTATGGCCACCGATTCCCATATATTCGTGAACTTCCACATTCCTAGTGTGAGTTAGGTTACTCGAATATTTGAACGTTTATGCCATCTATGAAACAGCTGGGCTGGCGCACATGTGGTCGATACCTCTAGGAGCTTTGTACACAAGCTTGTGGCAAATTTGCTGTCTCAAACGATATATATTTAATCTTGCAATGGATGTGATTTTCAGTAATTTATTTTCTTTGTTGTTCTGCAGGTCACCATGGAATTGCGGCGTCGTGGCTGGGTTGAGAAAAAGCGTGCCTCTCCAGAATGGGAAGCCGGTGATCCGTTCGCCTGTCTCACTCTGCAAAATGTTTCTGTGGGATACGTAGCCAGGGAAGCATACTTGTCGAAGGTACGTAAGAAGGCCAGGTAAAATTCTCACATGTCTATAGTTAGGCTTGTTTCTCTAGCTTATTCGCCTTTTCAGATCAAGCTTGGGGTAGGCCATCTCGAATTGGGTGACTTAATGGAGCGTACAATGCAACCCTTGTTATCGACAAGAGGAACTTTTGCGATATCGGTTGGTTGTTTTTCATTCTGTATTGGATCTGTACTGTCAGCGGATTAGGATATATAGCCTGATTTCCGATTTGGAACAGTTTTATGGCTATTCAATCTATTTGAAATTTTTTCGACAGTGAATGGTTTCCAGAAAACTCTCTCGGCTTCGTGTCCCGATCTGTCTTCACCCTCATCACCAGATGTGAATATGCCGTCATCGTTACCATCCCGGAGTTACCTCGAAGGTACTTTTTCCTGCAGCTTCCCGGATCTATGAGATAGATGGTGTTTCCGTGCATTAAAACGCTCTTTGGGTCTCATAATTTTCTTAGGGCACTTATTATGTTCATTGCATTATGCATTAAGATTTAAATTAAATTTCAAGGTATGAATCAAACTAGTCTATTTTATAGACAGAAAAATAAATGCCATGTTTGAATCCTTATATGGCCTTATCCGTCGTACATTTAAGCACTATAAATAACTTTCATTTAGAGTTCGCATCAGTGCATGTACCTCGTAAGGCCAACGCCGCAGTTGACGGAAAACGATCAGCAGAAGAGAGGGAAGCAACCATGCTCATTACAATGGTGGACCCTAGGCATCCTCAGTTTGAATCGAAGTTCATGAAGGTACGTAAACTCAGGAAACGTTTTGTTCAAGGAGTATACTTTTTGGAACATCCTTCAGCAAATCCTATCGCACCTCATGTAAACTTTGTCTAGACCGATTTTTTTCTGAAAAGTAGAAGCAAAAGTTTCTGCAAAGCATATGCCTTATTTTCATTCATGTGGTCACCTTCTTCACAATATTCACCTTCCTTTTTATTATTGTACGTACATGAATACGTACATACATACCTACATGCACGCATATACATATATATATGTATACGCATATGTATGCATGTGTATGTGTATGCATACGTGTGTATGTGTATGTGATGCATATGCATATATTTATGTATGTGCATGTAAGCATCAAACTGATCTGAAAGTTCCAAGAACTTTCTTGATATCATAATTGTTTATTTTCTATAGAATGTGGCTTATCAATCCTTTCGCTAAGTTCTTTCTTTAAACTTTTCTGTGCTAGTTCATAAGTCGATTTTTTAATTGACATCTGTAATTATGTTGAAAGCTCAATGAAAACAAGCCATAATTGTTTTCACAGCTGACAGTTTGAAGTTTGTTGGCGCTATCAGATTTCTGGCTGCTTTTTTATGCACTAAACTGTAAAGCGGATCAGCCAGCTGTTTGTGGTGGTTGGTCGGTTAAGATAAGGTTGACGTGCTGCGGCCGTNGGGTACTGTAGGGCATATATTTGATTTGACATGGCAGCCACACAATCCTTTGAAGGAGATCAGGCTTTTGTCGATTACCGCAGTTCTACTCAAAATCTTTTCTAAGAAGTGAATAAGCAGTGAATCATCATAATGCTGACGCAGTAGTATGAAGGACGTTGGATGAAAGTGCTTTGTTTGCTCCGCATCGAAGCTTCACCAATGAAATAGTAGTGCTAAGGATTTTTGGAGATGAGCTTATCTAAGAAAAAAAATTCGGCATGTTCTTTTCTAGATAGACCACACCTTTAATTTCCATTGAGAATCATAGTCGCTGTTGGAATGCCAACATAACATCTGTCCAGGATCAGTCGTTGTACAAGACCGAGCTTTTAGGCTCCCGAGCGGTTCCATTACCAAAAAACCGGCTTCGAAATTTTTAAGGTGTGGGCATTGTCTAGTCTGGAATGAGTTCAGGATGATGTATATGGGAATGACACTTATGAACAAGGGCCCCATCTTCGCCGTGGAATTTTCTTTTCCAGAAAGAAACAACGCTCTATTTTCCTATTTGAAATTCTCGAGACGTATCAGGTGCTCCTTCAAATACATTCCAATCAGTACTTTCTAAGTGTGAGTTCCTCAAAAAACTTTCACCTCCTTAGGTTATGCTACAGTAATGTTGTTTTATATCAATCCTGGGGATTCTTTCCGAGAAAACAACGCAGTCTTAAGCAATACTTCATAAACAAAATTTCAGAAAGACTTCATAAACAAATTTTCCACGGTGGTTTTGCTAGGAAACAAGAAAATTCCAAAATAAGCTATGAATCACTCTATTCTGTGCAAACAGAGCATGAAAATTTAATAGTCTCAGAACCAAGAAGTCACAAACTACGCGGATGGTATTTTTCTTTAAAGCCCTCAAATAGCCCTCAAATGTTTTTCCGAGTCGCAAGCCTTTCCTAGTAATCGGCAGTCATTTGTCAGACTCGAAAGAGTTTTTCAAATTAAGCGGACTTCATAAGAGCGGATATTGCTTTTCACTACTGAGAACACTTTAATAAGCGACATCAGATAAGTATATTCCCATAAAGAGGCACAATCCATTCGAAGAGATGTGAGATAATCTGGTTTCACTATGTATTTCTCTGTTTATAAACAAAACTTAGGATGGAGGTGGTGGTGGTAAGTGGGGCACTTTTCACACGCATGGTCACGGGTTCGGATCCCGTATCGATATTTGTCTAGGCCGAGCAAGCCCTTTATCCACTCGGGGTCGGGTAATTGGTACCAAACTCGTCTGGGATGGTAAAAGCAAGTCATTGTGGGGGCCACACACGCATTCAATACTCCACTAAGATTATGCATTGAGGCCCGATGCGTGGACGCATCCCTCAGATGGGATTGATTAACGGCGAAAAGGCTTTAGAGGCTTCAAGCAAAATCATTGCGTTTTTGGAGCGTTTCATATTAAGCTATAACGATTGCTGTTGAAAGTGTGAGGAGTGCAAGTGAATTTTGAGGTTCTTTGAGTAAGTAGATCGAAATGTCTTCGTTGCTGGAGAGGTCTCCAAGATCCGTCTAAGTGAAAAGTGAATGGACAATAGTTCAACCAAAATAATACCATGTAGAGGCAGGACCTATACATGACACAATTTTTGAGACTCATCTTATTATCATCCCGAAAGATGCTTAAAGTAAAAACCGAATCTTGCTGTGGAAGCAATGTGACAATGGGAAGATACCGTAACTGGAATATAAATTGGAGTTATCAGTCACTTGCAGCTTTTTTTCACGTACTTCGAGTAAAGGGCTTTTCCTAAAGCTGAGTTTGATTGACAGTCATTAATATTCCGGGGAAAGTGCGTAGGTGTAATCAACCTTCATTATGATTGCGATCAAGCTGCGAGGATGATCTTCTATAAGTGAGACTTTGTAGTATTTCTTCACACTTCCTCTGTCTTGAAGGCTTAGTTCAAATTTTGAGGTACCCTTTTTAGGTAGGAAAGTGGAAGTGTTGGTGTAGAGGAGTGCATCGGTGGTGAAGAAAACGAGAAAATCCGCTAACTTCAAGGCTTTTTGAAAGTAGTGGATGTGGAGGTTCACGAGATCACCGTGACGGTAATGGCATATAAGGGGTGTTTGGACGAGATTTAACTTGCTTCTACTGCTTAAAGAGAAAGCCGTTGAAAGTCGTCCACGATGGGTGTGGCTTTAAGTCGATACAATCTCTGGCCCCTTATTATCCCTATCTAGGCGTTTTTCGACCTTATAATGGCAGGTATGGTATAAGGGGAGCCTCGAATTCATACTATAGGGGAATCTCAGAAACCATTTTTATCGTGTACTGTGCCTTTAAATCTCCGTAAACCCTTGGATCATTTACACTTATAATAAAGTAAATAATTTAACTCAATAACACTTTAATAACACTCCAAATAATAATGTACTTCTGCAGTTTTTGTTAGTTACAATGCACCTACATAATTCTCAACCATAACTTCCCACTTGGAATACTAATGGTTTTTTTTATTTCTACATTCAAATATATTTGATATAGAGTTAACCTCAGGCTTTATCAAGTTATCCAACATCGAGCCATGAAAAGTATGTTTCACCACAACTAGATTTATTCGCCATTCCTACAAGTAGAATGTCATATTTGTTGTTGTCTGCGGTAATATTCTTCGATCCATTTCAATGGAATAAATTGAAAGCGATTCAACGATCGTTTGCCGAATCTGAAAATTTTTCGGGGTTACTTGAAAAAGAAGTCTTTGAAGAGTATTTTCAAGTATAGTACTAGTCAATGATAAGACAAGGGTAAAATTTAATGGTAACCTTGAAAACTAATATGAAGTTTGATAAATCCTGGTAAAGGGAGGGATGGGAGGCGATTTTTGGTCCTCGGCGCGATTTGAAAGAGTGGTTAGTGTAATTACAATATAGCGCATCCACGTTTACTGAAATATCTCAGCATTGAGGAGGTTATACGTAAGGTTTACCTTCCTACTGTCTGAATACGATCAAAACTCGTGATTCATTCACTAGTCGGAAGGAACTTGAATCGAGAATCGGATGAGTAAAGCAGACTTCCATTTTTATCTCCCATTTCTTTTTTCCGGCACTGCTATCGGTTTTGAAACTTTTCTCCTCTTGTCAGCGACTCTGCTAGGTGACTTAGTTTTCTTACTCAACGAATTGGCGTTTTGGGTATATCCCCTTGTTTGGAGGCCACATTACGTTTATGATTTCTCCTTTAACTGTATTATTTTTTTTCTGATTTTTAGAGTTTCTTCTCAGGAATAGTAATGGAAAAAGTACGAGCGGATTTAGGACACTTGTATCAAAACAAAAAAATATGTAGTCTCCCTTTCGCAGTAGCGGACTAGACGGTCATCTTCCCTAAAGTTGGAGACAAGACGGTTAACTTCTCTCAACCGAAGGGTTTTCATTCGTGGAACCCAAGGTGTCAGCAGGTGATGTCGTAAATAGTAGGAAACTGTGGTAACTCACGGCACTAAGTAGGCACTCAAGAACAGAGGGCCCTTCTAATGAACAGGATTAACGCTGAGAAGTTGAAGAACGGTTCTCGGTTGCTTCCTCAGAATGAGGCCTAGTAGTGTGACCGTTCGAAGCTTAATTCTCGAGTCTTGAACCACATTCAGTCTTTAAGGGGCACGGTCTTATCAGAATGCGAGGCTGTTGAATGAGAAAACTATTCCACCTGACTATCTCGTTGGCAAAAAAAATAATGGTCATTCTATTTCATAAAAAAGTATTTCTATCGTAGTGAATTATGACGATGGCTCGGCATATACAATCCCCAGTAAGTGGATCCCGCAGTGGATCTCTCTCTCAGGCCAATCAAAAGCTCATATTGGTATTAGCAGAGCGCAGCTCAATGACAGAGCTGAGAATTAGTATTATAGTTCAGGTAAACTTAGCTCATTACCTCATTCTTCCATCTTCTTTAAGCTTTCCTTTGAGTTCGGCTATGAGCTCATTGTAAAGAGAACTTTCGCTTCGCGTAGGTCGTAGGTCTTCAGCCTGTGAAGGGATGTGCTTTAATCAGCAGATATTTTATGATTAGTTAAGCTTGTAAACAGGACTCACGTTTGTACTGAAGAGGGCTAGTGAAAAGTAAAGAAGGAAAGTAGAGACGAGCAGAAGTTGTGGAGAATACATTAGATCAGAATGGGATTGAACGAGATGAAGGCGGTGTTCCGATGAGCTGAAGAGGATATCATAGGGGAAGTTAATTTTCTCATAAACATGGGCGTTATTATGTTGCCTGTGGCGGAAATTACTTGGCATGCTATGGGCGGGATGCAGTTAATTGGGGCTGTCAAAAGAATATCTTATGTTACTAGGGAACATGAGGAGGAACATTCTTAGTGCTGTGGAAGTTTTTTGGTAAGGATCTTATTACAAGCCTCGCATTTCATTCGATGAGGTTTCGAATATAACCATATTATTCTCACATATTCTTCACGTCGCACTGGGGGCCTTGCCTCTGAAGTTTCCTAATGGCATCAACAAGACTTCATAGGAAAGAAATTGATACATACTCGGAAAGACTGGAAGAGAGCGATAGGGCTTCTGTGTCATTGAGCCCAATATAAATGGGCGACACTTAAAAACATAATTAAATATTAATTTAGGTGCGCGATAATAATTGTGACTGAATTAAGAGGTTCACACGTTTCCATACCACCTGAAAGTCAGCAGGTGGTGAGGGGAATATGGTAGAATTGTGGTTGCTGATCGGTAAGGGTCGAAATGAAGAACTTCCAAGGGTAAATATGAAAGGCTGTCAGGTCGCAATATTTGTTTTCTTTTTTTTTTACATTGTCGCTCACTAGGAAAAATCTATTTTTCCACGAAAAAACTGTCAACAGCGAACTAAGAACTTAGGCAGATCCCGCACTGCACGAGCCTATTGCTACTATGCTGACACCCTGATTTCTCTCTTAGCCTTGTGTGAAATTAGTTTGTGTGGAGTCACAGTCAAGTTTAGCCTAGTTTAGCCTTATGTACAAACATCAAAGTTCACGTCTTTGTTTGAATGTGTACATTTTGAAATTGCTCTAGAATGAATTCATTTAAGAGCATCTTGAGATTCTCATATATATCTAGGATCAGTACTTAATTTCCTGACTAATTACGTGGCTGAAGTTACTTTTCCGTGAAATACAATCGTCTTGCGGTGTTTTTTGGTCATTGAGAGCCAGCATGGTATCTCAACAATACTAGATCTGGTTTTGAATACTCTTTAAACTATATGAAATGCAGTTTCTCGAAGCAAAAAGACAAATTGATTAGTTTTTCATGACGTCATTGGCTATATAATGTTTTCGATCTTCTTATTTACACCGTGAGATAAACAACTAAGTTTTATTGGTGATCCTTCAGAAGAATTGTGATATCGATATCGAACTGAACGAGCTTGATATGGGAATGCACAGAAGGACGTGGACTGCATTAATTGATCTTGCTGGACTCCTGGGTACCGAAGAAACCGAACACGATTGCACGGAAATAGAGGAAAACCTTGAGAAAGGTGGGAACCTACTGTTTCACCTAATATTCTGAAATATTTGTTTGAATCCCTTACCCACACAGAGTTGAAATTATAAGTCGTAATGTAACACACAAATGGTGGGAAGAGATCAGCGACGACGCCACCGCGCAATAGTCCCAAAGTCGAATCCTTAACTGGTTTTTGCCAATAGTTGCCAACTTTCCTTTCTTTTCTGTATTGTTTGGATGACATAAAATACCTAGTTCATGTAAAATATTTACGCAAAGGGTAGTTTGTAGGTTAGTGTACCCATAAATCCTTAGAGAACCATGATTTTTGCTAAAATATGGTGAAACTTTAAGCATGCGCTTCTTGAAACGCAATCGGTCAAGCTACAACTTTCCTCGTGTTTTGTAGATTTTCATAGACCAAGAAATGCATTCACTGTCGAATATACCTGACCAATGTAGTGATGGTCGAAAAGGGCAATTATTCTTGTTAGTCCCATTGTTTCGGAAGAATTTCCAAGGCGAACCATGGTTCCATGTTTAGCTACCCCAAGGCTTGCTGAGTTTTGGCTTCAGCTGAAAAACAGTGGAAAACAATTATCGATGTTTTAAATTTCAGATCTCACGATCAAGTCAATGCTGGTTCCGTTCTGTGTTGGATCTGCTGTGCGGGTACGGTCATTACGTATCGATATGAATTATCCAGCGAACTCCACGCGGTTGGGTGTAATTCGCCTCGAGAATGCTGTTGTGTCTTCGAAGGTTAGTGGCTCCTTAATTTTGTGAAAAAAAATACAAGTGGTTCTAAGTTTCTGAGAAGGCACGTTCAAAAAGGTCACCTGACTAGTAGAGTGGCAGCCGTATGCGCGAGAAAGAGTATTCTGTCATTGGTATGTAAAATTTTAAAAAGCAGAAACACGCGTGTCCATGAGATTGAGAGAAAAACATAACTTCTCTTAGATTTCAACTTAGAGCTTATTCAACTTGTTATTCTAGTATGAAGTGCTGATTGCAAATAGGGAGACCAGAGTTCTACCGGACAACTTTCTCAGTTTAGGCCTACCAGGCTTTATTCCTTGTTGTGCTCTCTGGCAGATAAATTTTTGCGTGTAGAGTGTAAAAGGCGAAATGTCAACGATTAACTCGATGTCGCTAATCACGAACTGTGCCTTCAACTATGAACGTCGCGGGTGTCAGCACGGAATCTTGAAAACAATATTTTTGCGAAATTTATCGATCCTTGCTTTGTTGTGACCTTACGGTACAGTATAAAGTATACGGTAGTGTGTGAACACTTTTAGAGTTTATTCATGTGTTTAAGAAGCTGTTTCAGTTGAATTTGTACCAAGCGCAAGAAACGCTATCGATTTGTATACTAGTCGATGGGCTGCGGGTCGACGATCGTACTCCATACTATTCGGAATTGTACCCGGAAAAGATGATACTGTGTGACGGAAACAATGTGGTACCAAGCCATGCGGAGATCAGAATAGTAAAGTAAGTATCTCTTTGCTGCCACTGAGCCACTGGACTAAACTTCAGCGGCTTTTGTTCTTTATTTAATTGGAAGATGTCGATCGGCAGAATTTTGTGCTCAGCTCCGGAATTCTCCTTTTTTTGTTCACATCAGGATAGTCGATGAAAGTATCTGCTCAATTTTTAGAAAAAAAAAANNAAAAAAAAAGAAAATCACTGGGGCAATTACAGTTGAATTCATTAATTAAAATTCTGTCTACTCCTCGCTATTTAGATGTTTTGGTACTGTTCCAGATTCTTGGGAGAAGATGCTAACCGTGAGTGCGATCTGCGCTTGAGCGTCACCGTACCGGAGACAATGAGGCTATACTATATACACACTCATAGGTATACATATTTCTGCCATAACGTTGTTTGTTTACAAGTGAGAAGTATTCGCAGTTTATTTAAAGGCGACTCTTACACTGCCTACCCATTTACATGTTAGGACCAAAATTTTACTGGAATTTTTAGGTACTTCTGTGGGTTGCTGGACTTTTGGCTGCATTTCAATGAGTTGCAGGATCAAGTGGCAAAAGTCAAACGTAGAAATGTGAGCTTATTGTTTCTGGTTTGTTGATAAATAGGAATTCCGTGCGGAAAAAAGATTGAGCATAAAACGACTTTTTCACCCTCAGAATTCCGCTACAAGCCTATGCCTGAATCTCTCAGAAAGGCGCTTAGTTTTGCACTCAATTGAAAGACAATGCTCTTATGAAGTCCTACTCATGATTTTTTGTTTTCTTCAGCAATGAAGTCTTTCTAACAGTGCAGTAGGGCCAGCAGGTCTTAGAAGCGCGCAGTCGCGACACGTACGCCGGCTTATGTGGCGAAACAATGTAATCGCAGCAATTTTTAAAAAACGTTCCCTCTGTCAAAATTTTCTTAGGCTTCCGAAAGTGATACTGTATCCTCGAATCCGATGGTTCTAGGTGATCGATGGCGTTCGCTCGAAGGTTGCCCTGGATTTGAATGTGAAATGCCCAACAAGTGTCGTCTTCCCTCTTAACCAGTGTAGCGATCAGCTATTGGTTCTCGAATCTGAAGGGGTTCGACTGAGCAATAAGTTCAAACGAATGAGTGAAATGGAGAGCGAATTCCAGAAGAACTGCATTGAAACTGACTTTGGATACGGTAGGTAGGACCGATTTTCGTTTTTTTCAGGTCGAAAACTTATAAAAAGTGGTCTACTTTTTTTGTATGTAGAACGGGTTTTCTGGAAAGGTTATGTAGGGCAAAAGGGCTGCAATTTTGTGTATGCTCGCTTTCAGCGAGTCTTTTCTATGAAAGTTCACTTACCTTTTCAGCTTGGATATTACACAGGTGATTCAAAAATTAGTTCAGATCCATCCGTCGATTGTCTGCTGGACTGCCTGAATGTAATGTTGCCAGAGGTTAGCATTTACGAGGGGAAGCGGTTCATGATGGCGAACAGGAAAGAGGACAAGGTTAGTGGTTTTCTGACATTTCCTAAGGACAGCAATTTAAGGATTCATTCCTCATATTGCTGTATGGTTGACTTGTGCGTCCAAAAATGATTGCAGAGAGAGCGATTAAGGTTCTAAATCTGCCTGTCAAGTCGGAGAGTCTTTAGGGTTGGGACTGTATAAGTGTACCTGAAAATGACTTGGGCAACTGTCATAAATCGTTCGCCTTCGAAATTAATTTTCTTGGACTCTCTTTCCGCTGAGTTTTGAGACTTTTATTTTCTTTCCCCACCCCTTTCACCCGAACCTTGCTTTCGTTTCAACCCAGCATAACGAAAACTGCGATCTTCATTCTTGCTGCCAGTTCATCCTCCACATCAACTCTGAGACAGCCGTGTGTCCACCGGCTGTAACGAAATGTCACTGATCTCACGTAGAAAATCGTCTCCGTAAAGAAAATCCGTTATCCTGTCCCAAATACAAAACAACCCAACTAGCCAGGCACTCTGGCTGCAAAGTTTTTTGAAAGCTAATTGAAAAGAGTATTCAGACATCTCGCTCACTTGGTCGTGAAGCGTTTGAGTCGTTCGAGATAATCATGGCGCTGGATTCGGTTTTCAGTCGACGATTTGATCTTTCTGTGGATGTGTTCAGAAATCTCGATGGAATTCTTTCACATAATGGTGAGCACCTCATTTGATGGATACCCGTGTTTTTTTGACTGACCTATTAATTTGTTATTTCAGTCAGTTTTTTTTTTGACGAAGATTTTGAAAAGTTTTCCAGCACCTGATCTCTCCGTTGTGGCCAGTATCAGCAAGCTCACGTGGCGTATCACTTCCGACTTCTACATTCTATTTCGAGGTGTCCTTGAAAAGAATTTCGGTGATCCGCTTATCCCCATACCGGAAACGATTCCGATGGAGATTCTGCAGAAACCTACAACTGGCTGTGTTCGTTTCGTTATTCTATTTGAACAATGTCGGTTTTCTTAGCGCTCTTTTTACCAAAAAAAAATGTTTCAGGAAGTGGGCTGCGTTAATAAGTATGCAACTCTTTCTTTTCGGTTACTGTTTGACAACGTGGAATTGGATTGTCTGGTGAGTTTTTTGACTGTTTGAAAAAATGTTGGAATTGAATTGAAAATTTTCTTCCGTCTGCTATGCCGTCAAAAGGGCCTGGGAACGGCATCAACTATATCGTCACCATATACATCGCAGATCGCCTGTGTTTTTTTTGAAAACCTTTTTTGTACACATGAAATTTTCACCTAGTGAGGGTTCCGAGTATAGAGAGTAAAGCATGCGTTGACATAAAAGTAACCGATTTTATCCATTTCAACGATTTTACTAAGACAAAATTAGGTTTACCGGTGAAACATTTACAAAACTGTTTGACCAAGTATTTGCAACTTGATTTGATCATTGAACGGAGCGTATTTTGTGAATGCCAATAGTCATTCTTCGTTCTAGGTTCCACAAACCAGCTCTCACCCACCGCCAACATCCTTATTCGGAAAGCCATTCACGCCATTCGCTAAAATGCAGTTGCATAGTGCTCGAGTCAGTTTCGATGTCTTCATTGACGGTCAAAGTGAATTGGATCTCGTATGTGAGAGCGCCAATCTTATTGACACTCGAGAAGGTAGAATTTGTTCCTATTTTGCATACTCAATTCATAAGAGCCCGCTCACCACTTAGACTCACTCACTTAGATCCTCTTAGAAATCAATTTTTCAGTACAATTGGGAAGTGGAACGAAGAACATGTTCAACACAATTTTGCGGCCTCGTGAATCGTCAAATAAAAACTATCAGTTGATGTCCGAAGCCCATATAATGATGCGAAAAGACGAAGTACCGGTAGTTACGTTGGTGCTGATGTATTCACGTGTACTGATGTTCTACGACTGGTTAAACGACGCAAAAGAGTTTGTGATGTTGAGCTCCGACTTTGTTCCAAAATGTGAGTCAGAGGTTGAATCTTAATTCTTGAGGCTAGATTTCTTGAACAGAAAATACAGAAAGCCAAGGTGCCTAGTGGAAATCTTCTAGTACTTTTAGTTTTTTGAATACTTATTATTAACTGATCTCGGACTAGGGGAATGTACAGAAATTGCCCCATTGGGGACAGGTCTAATTTGTTTCCCATGCAGACTTTTCTGTATTCTTGTCGAAATACCTGTGCTCCTAATTCCCAACCCCTTGTATACTAGATTCTGCTTTTTCCTCGTAGTCTTCCGCTTCCGTCAGCGGTTCAGACACATCCTTTTTTCTTGAAAATGAAATTTCATATTGGCATTGGCATATTTAGGATTAAAGACAATATTAGAACTTCAGACAGTGACGACGTAGGGCGCACAGTGGTGAATGGTGGAGTCGTAGGCCGTATGGGACGAGTGCCATCGGGACAACAACAGACGTTAGCTTTGAAGATCACTCTGAGGTAGATTAGCAGTTTATTTTCCACCTCTTCTCCTTTTTTCCTAAGGGAAACAGTAATTTTAGAGACTCGGACCTGTACCTGCTTGAGAATCCAAGTAGGAGTAATAGCTTTGCCGTCGTGGTGAACACTAGCGCCGTGTTGAATGTCAGCGATCCTGGCGGAGTTATGGCGTTCAATTTGGAGATTCAGGTGAACTCCTTAATAAATTACTCCTTGTTGTAGAAATGTATATATTTTGCTTCTGGCTTACAGAATATGAGTATCAGCTGGTGCTGTATGCAAAATGAAGAAGCAACCTTGAATCAGTGCTCGAATGAGTTCTCAATCGCTGTTAGCATGGCTATGAATAGTTCAGTGACGGAAGACCCTAATAAACGGCGAGGATTGCCTTCTCTGACGCAAAAGAGGCATATGATAGAGGTAAGGAATACAAGTGGGCTTCAGATTGATTCGAATGGACCAGAACTGTGAACCAAGGCTAATAAGCGATTAAAGTAAATTTTTGCCCTTCTAACTTTGAGTTCGTTCCGGCCTTCCCAGTTTGCCTATTGTTTTCCAATGATTATAACTAACTGTCGTGCTTGAAAGTTTTTAGATTTTGAGTTTGACTAGAATAGTGACGTTTCGAAATACTCAGCTGTAATGTGCGAACTAAGCCTTTCTTTGATAGATGATTTTCTTTTACAGGTTTATATAAATGGAATGATCGGAAGGCTATCGTATAAAGACGTGCGAGTTCTTCGTAATGCAGTGGACGGGTATATGGAGAATCTGAAACAGAACAGTGGCGTTACAATGATACCCGTCATTGGAATACCACCGAAACCGAAAAGTTAGTTAGCCATGAAGGCTGGAAATTGTTTTTTTTTCGCTTTGTATACATTAAGCAAGTTTATGGATGTCAAATCAATTTCTTTTCAATAACTATTGTTTCAGACATTGAAATTGGCCGTATCATGATAAAATCCGAGAGGATAGATTTATGGCTGTTGGATGATTTCCAGGGTAGTTCGATCCCGTTGCTGCGGATGTCATTGCTGAGTAAGTTCTTACTGTGCTCCTTGTAATCGTTTCTCGGTTTTCGTTACTTAAAAATTTTGGCTACTCTTTTCATTAACCGATTATTCGAAGTGTGATAATTTTTTCTTTTTCTGATTTCCTCAGTTTTTGTATACCTACTTATCTTGCTTTATTATTTTCAGTTGTTCGATATTATTCTTTAGTGATGTATATAGTTAGTTTGATCTAAATTGTTCAAAACTCCCGTGAAAACCTCCCTTAGCAGTGAATTTTGTTTTGTTAAGGGTATATTACAGATTTGTCAATCGATCGGCAATCAGAGGATCGTTTGGTATCGAATTTCTCGATATCCGCAGATTATTTCAATCAAAGAGTTTTTGGATGGGAGCCAATGGTTGAAAAGTGGTCTGTATTGCGGTTACTCTTGACAAGGAAAGAGAACACAAGGAATATGGATCTGATTGCGGGTAAGGAGAATTTCCCCTGTAGGACATTTTTGCTGTGATCCAACCAGAGAAATATTTGAATCAGTGTTGTGGAACAAGCGCTACTTGGTGGAAGGATTGAAGTTTCTATACAGTTCTGAGTGGGAGGTGAAGTACATACACTTTTTTCAAAGGTTATATATCAACTTGCTCCCAGATACTTGCTCTTAAAAGCAAAAGAACGGTGGTGGCTAGGTTATGGCAAAGTCAAGATATGTAGGAGAACACTGACAACGGCTTCAACGTTTTTTGCAGAATCACGGTCCACACTCGATATCAATATCACCGAGCAACTTATGCAGCAAGCTGTTCAGATTGCCTCACGATGGCCGCTGATCCGTTCATCATTTGAGAGAGACGATTTCAGGTAGCTTCTAGTAATCCAGTAATCATAACTGTTGTTGACAAATTGATACCCCTTTCTACTGTATAGATGCTCTTCTGAAGTCAACCCATAACTTTCAAAAAGTACATCGTACACCTTTCAGAAATTCTTGTGCTCGCTCGCGATCAGATCATTTACCATACCTTTTCAAGAATCAAACAGGCTGCGATGTCGTTTTCAGCACTGGTAAGTTTGCTTTTCTAAGGTCGTCAGATTTTCGAGTTTGCATTACTTCTAGATTCTCATTATTTCCGGGTATCGTAACTTATCATATTTTGATTTTCTTTGCTCGCTTTGCTCTGGCCTCTATCACATCCTATATTCACTACTTTCAAAAGAAGAATTTTTGTGACATCTGATTTTGTAGCTGTGGAGGACATCCAAATTGCAAGAACGACGCAGAGGAAAGCCAGTGTACGATGGATCAGCGTGGCAAAAGACAAGGAGCATACGTTCGAATTTCCACCCCGACTTCTGCTTTACTCGGTCGGTGATATGAAGTTTTGTGTTGGATTACGCTTCTCATTACTTGTGATTATAGCATTCCGAGCGTGAACCACCTCGTCAGTTGATTGTCCGCGTTTCTGGTTGGGATGAGATCTCGCCGGTGAACGTGGATGCGTGTGGAACATATTTTCGCTTGGTGAAAGGCGTGAAGGTTCGTAAGACTTCGTTCTTAATTTAATCGATTATGGTGTTTCACAAAGTCTGACAGTGAATCATTCTAGAGAGGCATTCCAATGGCTCGTGTGGTTATTCAAGTGACGATGGAAAAGGACGGGAAAAAAGTTGTTGCCATTCGATCGTCCATAGATGTGCACAATCAGTTGCCTCATCAACTGGCAATTTATTCAGCTGAAGACAAGCGAGGTTGATAACCAGTCTGAAGGAAATTTTTAGGATATTATTTCGTAAAATCCTTTTAAGAACTGATGATTGTGGACCCGATACAAACGAAACCGATTCCATTACCGTTTGCCCATTGTCAGTTCTTAATGAGTCCAGTGGGCTGTCAAGTGCTGGAGAAGGTTTCTTTGATTTTCTCTCCTGTTTTTCTCGCGTTGTGGAGATAATTAAAACAGTTAGTTAATTAGGCTGAAGGATCCTGGTTGAAAGTTCGTGCAGCTGGTGACACACTAAATCGCACTCAACGATTGGAGACATCTGACAAAAACAACCACTACTGGTTAGTTTTTTCTTATTGTTAGTTTTTTATGCGTTTGTTCCATGGTTTCACTTATTGTCAATAAACTTGCCTTGGTTTTGCTGTGCGACGCAGTTCTGAATCCGATCAGGACCAAACCTTGTCCTGACGACCGCCGCAGTTATGCTAGGCTATCGAAAATAACTTATTCTATTCGATAAAAGGCAAAATGCTTTTTTTTTTTTGGAAGAGAGAAAGCGTATGAAACGACGTTGTTTGACGTTGTTTGTTTTGTTATTCTATTCAAATAATGTTCTATCATCCTGTTCACCTTCTATTCAATGTTCGAGTAGAACGATTTAATCGTAGGTTGTGCACTGCTGTACGTCGCGAGCATTACCCCGATCAAGAGTCGTTACCGGGTCATTCTATTTTCGTAGTGGCACCTCTCACATTGCAGGTAAGAGTCATAAAATCGAATCCTCTGCGAGATTTCGGGATGTGATAAAGTAGTTTTCAGAATTTGCTGCCGGTTGATGTTGAAATTCACGTTGTCGATAAAGTTTTTCCTATTGCGGCGGGTAAACAGCTGCTGATTACATCGGTACTTTTCTTTCTTCCCTGATTTTTCAAGCCCAGTGCGACTCATGTCCGCCTTTTTGAACTTGTAACTTCTTAGGTGGATATAACTAAACCACTATCGATTCGGGTGGTAACCGATCGGTTACGAACTGTACAGGAATGCTACATATCCAAATCGAGTGTAGGGGAAGGTCAACTGGTTTCGCTGAGGTAGGCAATCTCATAATTTTGGAGCCAAGTGTTTGCAGGGTCCTCAAGAGCCTGCTTAAAAACAAATTCATTTCAGGTTACACGATGCCAGTGGTCGTCCGCTTGATATGTACGGTAACGTGCATATTGGAACCGGTGGTTCGATCTCGTTCTCTTTATGGGTACCGTACTGGATAGTGAATAAGTCAGGTAAAAATTCATTGACTGCACATATATCGATAGTATTTCCTTAATAAATCGATTCAAGGCATCCCATTGATTCTCAAGCAAGAAGCTGCAAGTAGTGAGGCTGCAGGCCAGATGTCCGAACACGAACGAGCAAAGGACAGGAATCCATTGATGTTTAGTTTTGCTGACGACGGATGCCCAAAACAGTAGGATTTTTACATTGAGTATAATTTTTTTTTCTGTAGAATATGACCTCAGTTCGATTTGGATTTTTTGATAATCATAAAAACTGTCTTAAAGGTGTGTCGTACGTGTAGGACGCGGATTAGCGAAGGAACCATACTATGTGCCACGCTATAGCCAGAAGTTTGCATTAACTCCCGGTGTACAGGCGTTGAAATTGAATGTCGTACATGAGAGTCTGCCCACTCTGTGAGTTTCTCCTACAGGTTTACTTTTATTACTGTCATAACTCTTTGTCAATTTTCCTATGTTATTTAGTTATTACAATATTGGTGTGGAAGTTCGAGCAGGTACGGGTCGTTACAAAGACACCCAGGTGGTTCTACTTACACCTCGTTATGTGATCAGTAACCAGTCGTCGTATGCAATTTCTGTTTGTCACCATGATCTCATTGATGTGAGTCTAGCTATTCCTTTGACTCAATGAACCAGTAGTGAGTACTAGTATGGTTGTGGCTACTCTGACTTTTCCTCACCGCTTGCTTTTCAGCGGCCTTCTGAACACGTGCATATTGCTTCGCAATGCAGTCTGGTGTGGAACGAGAACTATGAAGATTGCCGACAAATGTGTGTCCGGCGAAGTGACGTACGCCACTGGAGTTGTCCATTCCGGATAGACCGCATTGGATCGTTCCATATTACGATGAGGTATACTACACTATTAAACTTATTCTAGTAACAATAGTTCAAACACTAGAATACATATTTGTCCCACGGGTCACAGGAGTTTTCCTTCCACAAGTTGGGATTTTCTTTCCTCGGAAAAGTCCAAGGTCAATTAGCCAATCCTGAAGTGACCGGCGGTGAACTGGATCTTTCTAAGGACTCCCATGAGTTTTGGTCACGGTCCTATGTGCGTGATAGCATCCTTTCTATAATTTTAGCTTATGAAACTTAATGAATTTCTTTTTCCTGTTCACTAGAGATGAATCAGTAAGTGAATCAACAAATAAGTAAGTAATATATCAAGATTAAACTAAATATGTAGGTGAGGTCGTTTGCTACAACTTGAATCATATGCTTTAGGGAGGTGTGAGTTTTTTCGTGCTTGCTGTCAAAAATAGGCTATATGATAAAGTCTGCAATCTGCCAATTTCCTTTATATCACAAAAAATAACTCAGGGATTCGGATGAAACCCCAAGATTTGTACGTGTTGAAGTGATCCTGAACAGCGCGGTATTCTGCGTGACGTTCACGGATGCCGAATATTACCCACCACCTATTCGGATAGATAATCAATCAGACGTGGGTGGCATTGGTTTTGAGTAGATTCAGTTTCCTCACATTCAGAAGCGTCGCTTGAGAATATTTGTTTATCGTGTTAAGGTTCCTGTTTTGTATCAGCAGCAGTCGGAAGGTCCAATAGGGCAACACCTGAGAACAATATGCAAAGCTCGTAGCCACATCGATTACGCTTGGGATGATCTTTACGGAAGCCGACGGATCGTACTGCAGGTATTGAGATTTTTTCCTTTCGTGAGACAGTTTTTCACTATTTCCTAGCACAAAATAGATGTTTCATCGAAAACGATCGAGTAAAAATTTTGGTCCAGCTTGAGAAGTGAAAGGTGTAACAGAGACCACTCTTATTGCATTCATGTCATGTGCCTCAGGCACAAGAATAGTGTGGACTGGCTCTGTAGTTTTTTTGTTATCTGGGCCTTTTCTTATTATCTAACCTGTAGGTGTACGAGAACAAAAGCCATGTCTATGATCCATCGATGCCGGGAATAGGTCCACAACTCGTCTACGAAAACAATGTGTACATTCAACTGGCCTCATCTTTCAACGAGTTCGTGGTTTTGATTTCATTGAATGCCTACTTGAACTAATTTATGGAGTCCTTTTTTAGTTTTAATGTTACCGGAAACAAGAAAACGGATGAGTGTGAGTTGGTGCTGGAAACAATGCAAAAAGGAAAAGTTATGTTGAATAAGCAGAACAGGATTGATGCAAAGTGAGTAAAGTATCATCCTTTCGATTTTTCCCACTGTCACCGCTCTACACATCAACATTTCGCAACGGGTGTGAAGGAGCTGCACAACTTCTCCCGAGTACAATAGTTCAGAAGATCTTTAAAGCAAATTGTGTTAGTAAGATCGTTAACGAAATTTTCTGAGTGTGTTTCGAGCGCTCTTGACCCTTAATCTTCTTTTACTACTTTCCATTGTATTCTTATACGGATACTCTTTACTTTTTTCTATGACCGTTACCCGAATTTTATTCGTCGTATCAAACTACTCCCGCAAATCACTTGTTGTAAAAGCTCGTCATAGTTAGTTGCCGTAGTGTTTCTTTGCGTCGAAGTTGAAGTTATACAAATTCGTAAACGTCAGAAATACCAGAAGGAAGAGACTCTTTGTACATTCGATACTCTTCTGTTATAATTCTCGAACATTGTTTACAGGCAAAAAAAAACGAAGGAAAAAGTAAAATTGGCTAAGTTCTGTCCAGCGATTTGGTACTAGCGGCATAAATCAGCTAATAATCAATAGTCCTGTTGCTAAACATTTCTTTTCAATTTGTTTGGGAATATGAATAATTATTACAGCAACGGCAACCAGCTATGGGTAATATGCAGAGACGGGTGTATAGAAAACGTTGGGATGTCGCATCGTTCGAAAACTCGAACTGTCAGTTATCTTGCAGACTCAAGTTGATTCTATACAAGAATTGTTCCTACACTGTTATGATTCAGGTTCTGGATGTTCTGGAGAGAATGGGTTTTCAATTGATGATGACCCCACGCTCGTCATCTCGTGACCGTTTCCAGAAATGGACTTTATCCCCGGTTCGTTGGAAGAAATTAAAAATGCTGGCGGCTTCTAAGCAAATTAAATATAGCTTTGTAGGTATATCCATTGAGGTAAAAGATATTTTTAGGATGGGCGATTGTGGTGTGAAGGCTTGCCAGACATGGCTGTAACATACCAAACACCCAATTTGTTCCTAGCTAAAAATCAACAGGCTGAAGACCACATCATACCGGCATCATCTCAAGTAAGAGGATTTCTTTCTTAGTCCGAACTGTTTACTTTATGAGGAAATTTTTGTTCATTTTCTCATAGGTATGGCAAGTCCAACGACAGAGACCAGGTAGTGGTACTTTGGAAGTCGAGTGTTTGCACAGTGGACCTACTCTGGTGGGTTAACCTGCATTCAACTTCGCTAAAATTGTGTCCTTTTCTTTTCAAATCCAGTTTTTTCAAGGTTGTACGCATAACTGATCGAGAAGATCGCATGAGGACCCTGTCAATGCCCACGATGCCGAAGCCAACAAATTCAGGTATGATTCTCCATTTGTAACCATACCAACCCAGAGCGCTACACCTCTGAAGAAATTTAAAGTAGCCTTAGGGTACAGCTCAAATATAAGCTTGGCTTTCATAATCTTGAGGTCTCAATTCGAGGGCTTTGTGGTCCGCTGTTCGAAAATTAGTTAAATTAATTTTATTTGACCATAATACATTTAAAGGCGGAGATGACGTGGTGACATGGGCGCACTAGCGGACAAGCATGTTACCGGGATCGAATCGTGGATTGATGTTCGACCGGGCCTTACGTTCCTTCGGAGTCGGATATTTGTTACCAGACTAGCTTGGGAAGATAAAAGCCTTGACTTGCTCATCGGCTTTTCACAAGCGGATTGAAACCAGCGCCACAATTCCGATTGGCAGTTATGCGCATAGAACGGGCTCGGGCAGAAAGATTCCTGACAGTCTTCAAAGCAAGTTCGTATTACTTTAATAGTGAAAATGCTTTCAGCGGGCTTGGAAGTTAACGTGACGATGCGAGCCGGTATTGGTGTTTCGTTGGTTAATGGATCGCATGAGGAACTGTTGTATGCGCGATTTGGTGGAATTGTGCTAAGTGCACGGCGTATGGATGAAACTTACCAGTTGACTGGAAGTGTGGATGTTATTCAGGTAATTGAATGGATTTATATAATGCTTGACAGTCTACATTATCTTTCTATTTGGAAAAAATTGGCAAAAATCTGGTCTGCTGTAGCGTTAGTTTCTTTACACTTTGTTTTCGAATTTCTTCCCCACAGTGCCCCAAATTGGCTTGAATTCAGTACTGTCCTGATATTCGAGGAATAATTATGAGGAAGTTACTTGTTAATAAAATTTATATAGCAAGGGTGTGGGCAGGTAGTTTTGGGTAGAAAGTGTCTCTAACTCTGCTTATATCTTTGAAAAACTCTCTTGTCATATTTTATCTGCCTGAGTTACTAGAAAACGGCAACAATGTTCTATTTATCTGAATTTAGATTGATAACCAGCTCCTGAATTCCGATAAATGGCAAGTCTTATACTGTCAACCAGAGGTCCTCTTAGCTGATGATGATGCTCAGTCGCCGTGGGCAAATGGAGATCTTCCACCAGGCGTAAGCATTTTGTCTACATACCGGCAATTCTTTTTTTGGACTTACACTTTGAATTTCACACTACGTACATATAGACTTAAGGTTGCTCATGCTGACAACATTATGCTAAAACACACTTTATTTGCAGGTTTCTGGTACCGCAAGGCCAGCTCTAAAGTTGGAAATGAATTGCACCCCCATGAAGCATTACGACGCGTTCGATGTGGGTCACTAATGTATTTTTTTCTGCTTTTCACAGTTTTGATATCTATCCATCATTGTGATAATTTTTCAAATGTCTTAATGTGAAAATTGCATTTTAAGTCCTCTGCCCCCTTTCATAGCCCTAATCTTTCTCTTTTCTTACCTACTCGCGCATGATCGAGTAAAACTTCCCAAGCTTGTCTGCATCTGTATACATCGCTATTTGTAGATCATATTTTCCATCTTCATTACTTTTTAATCTATCCGTGACTGCCATACTATCAGCAACTGATACTACGTATCTACACACAGTCGCTCTTTGTCCCTTACTGTCGCGTTGTGAGGCAGCTGCCCTCAGGTCTATTTTCATCCCACTTTCTCCAGATTTTGTATCTGGTATTTGAGCGAGGGCGTATCGAATTGCAGTAGTGGCTGATCGAAAGTCATTTCCAGAAGTCAGATTTCTGTGGAAGTTGTCTTTTTCTAGTGCTTCCGCTTGAAGTTGTGTGATTTGGATGTTCAACTGGACGAATTACTGCTCTGGAAATTGGTGCAGTTTGCACAGGCAACGGAAGCAGCATCCAGTGTGCAGCACAGGACCTTGAGCTTACCACCCAATACAGAGTTAGTTTGACGACACAAATTGATAGTAGAAGAAATGAGTGGTTTTCTGTTGTTTTCAATTTCCTAGTTCCTTGAAGTAATAGCGCTGAACTAGTCCCTAGAATACGGTAGCGCTCATAAATTAGTTGTTCAGCTTGGAACGAACGGATCCATTACGAACAAGACGATGGTACTTTGGTACGCTGGATCTGGAGATGGGGCAGATATCATTAAGTGGTACGGTACTACTTCAGTAGTATATATGTAAAACTCTTGCTAATTTTAGTGAAGTTGTTGTTATTGCAGTTGTGACCGTATCGAAGTCAAGCCTCCCACCCGAATGTCGGCAACTGAAGCAGCAGTTCAATATGAAATTGGTATCCTTCGAAAACGCTGCAGTGTATTTACCACCGTTTCGACAATTTCATTACTTCGAGACGAGCTCTTTCCTGTTGGAGAGTCTTCAAAAGTTCTACTTTGGTAAGTTTTTTTCATTAATTTTTTGTATGCTAGAATGATATAAAATAATGATAATGTATGATAAAATTGGAATATAACCTATAATATAATCAATTTAAGCTGAACTCCAAAAGCAGACCCTCAATATTGTGGTGACTTTGGATGCATTCGGTAATCCGCAAGGCCTGGTGACGGATCTGAAGGATTCTTTCCAGGTAATAAGCTTCTTCTGGCTTTGATGTTTTCCACGCTAGCCGATTTGGTACTCTTCGAAATTTGATTTATCCGTTTATTATTTCTATGTCATGGATTTTTTTAAATCTTGCGATGACAACTGAGAAATAGGGATGACCACAGAACATTGAGATGAGGACATCTTGGCTTAAAGCCTCTTTTTAGGGTCTTTTTATCGAAGGTAACTTGCAAAGGTTCGTTGCTGGCCTCGGTTACGGTGTGTCGAATAGCATATCGAAAGTGGGTGTTCTTGAGTTAACATTGTTGCCTTATATCCATCCGGACCCTACAACGGCTTTTCAGCTGGCATCATCGGCGGCATCAGGAGTTGGAGCATTGACTTTCGATCAAGAGCATGAAGCAAAACGTCGTCATAACATGATTCGGTCTCATAGGTGATTAAGGAATTCATTCTGTATTTGTATTGATTTTGTTCTATATGTCCTTAGTTTTTTGGTAAGCTTTATGTGGTTCAGCACAACGACAACACCTCTTTCGCATCTCTATTCTGGTGTGAAAGGTCTTGGTGTTGGTGTTCTGGGTGGAATGACGGCAATAGTCACGAATACGATAGCCGAAAGTCGTAAAAGTGGTATTGTGACGGTGAGGAGCAACAGTTTTTTTAGTCATATCAATTCTTGAATTCATTCATTTTTGATCGAGATCTCTTACTTTTATGGGGAATCCTGTTAAGGGAGCCATTCGTGGCATCACGACAGGAGCTGTTGACACAGTGACCAAACCAGTTCAAGGGCTGTTTGATCTTGTTGAAGGAACAGCATCGGCAATGAAGGAACTCGCTGGACCTGCTACTGGTAGTGGACGAAGGTTGGCGGCAGTAGGGTCAGTTACGAATAAACGCCAATAAAAGCTTTCTTTCATAGTGAAGAGATGAGCCATCAAGAGAGGTGGATCTGAATCCAACTTATTTACTGGGACTATTTTTGAATTTCCTTCAACTGTTACGTCACTTTTGTTATTTCAGTAGAGTACGACCGCCGAGGCTTTGTCGAAATCTGTATCACCTGTTGCCGCCCTATTCCATTCAATTGGCCAACGCACAAATGGAGATGATGCGAATCAACGGCTATTCGACGAAAGAGAGGTGATTTTAAGATGTATTGGAAAAAAGGAAATCTGAAGGTGTTACAAATCGGGGATCAGCCAGACGAAGTTCGAAGCTCACAACGCGAAAGAGACGCGCTATTGAACAAAATTGAGAAATGGACCAGCAATTTTGAGTATTTCACGTGAATTGGAGAAGCTTGGGTGTAAGCTACGAACACCACATTTTGACGAATGGCCGTGTTATCCAGTTGAGACTTAAAGGAAAAGTAATGAGTTTTGTTGGGAACAGATCGACAGAGCTTCATGCTCTGCTCCTTCATGCTTTTGCTCCTGAAATGTTAGGAGCTTGCGATGGGATTTTGTTTTATGCTTTTTGAAGACATGTTTCGATAAGTTCGAGCATGGCTANACTCGGTTCAGGTTACTTGACGTGGAAGTTTGCCTGGAACAGTTCAAGGGAGACGGCCTTATTCGGCACTATGTATTGATCTCGACACGTCAGTGCTACGTATGTCAGCAGGTATGCAATCGACTGCTCACTTTTGTTATTTTTCTCTATTTTTTTCAAGGTTCGTGAAGAATAAGCAATTTCAGAAGATAAACGGATTTGTATCTGTTTAGGTCAACTCAGAACCATCGCATGTGATTTCTCGTATTCCGTATAAATACCTAAGGAATGTACAGCCACGTCCGGAACTCGAGAATTCATTGGCTAGTTTAGGTGAACATTTTTCGAATATGATTCAGTGAATTATCATAATTTTTGTTTTTATTCATTGGCCGATTGGCGGCGCAGGACCAGCTAAACTAACGGGGATTAGTATAGTTTTCAATAGTGACATCAATTCAATTTCATAGTATGATGTGGACGTTTTCATCACCTTGCATTGGTCATCTTCAAACACATAGTTGATTTTAACGGAATATGTTTGTCATTTCTGTTCCTTTTCCACGCAGGGGTTTATGAGATTAGCCGGTTTTGAAGCCTGGGGCCAATGAGTCTTCATGTGATCCTGCTATATAAGCGAGAGGTACCTGGGCCTATGTGATGTAACTGGAAAACTATTTAAGTATCCTCGCAAGCAAATCGAGTTTTCTGGCCTGTAAGGATTTATCTGCCCATCAGAGGGTTCTTTTTCACCGTAATTGGTAATTGTTAGCTGAAACGTAACCGTTAGTAACGGATTATACAGTATGACCAGGAAATAGATGCTGAGAGTTCATTGTTATTTTCATTGCCTGTGTCGAATAAACTAGCCGAATTACCTGGAGAGACTCAAAATCAATGCTTTAGAAGTGATCTTGGACACTGATGATCGGCGAACTCGACCATCTCACGTATGGTGTGGTCGATTTGAAGTGGCACGTCGTCTAGCTGAGAAGGTTATGCGAGCAAAACATGAATATGATCACAGTAAACGAACCCTCACAGGACAGGATTGTATGGCGGGTTGAGTGAATTCGTTCCAGAGGTAGCCTTTGTACCAGTTTAAGCTTTTTTTTTCTCGTTCAAGAAAAAATATATAAACAGGGTGATGACAACTCGATCTAACCCTATGAGCTTCTGGAACCTTTTCTAGGAGCCATCTGAGCCTTATTAGACACATCATGGGCTTGAAAGTGATATTGTACAGAATGTATTGATCGGACTTCAATCCAATCTCTTTGAATCTGGAGTCCACCATTGGTTCCAACAATGATTTCATCACATGTTCGTTCTAAGTTGGCCTGGTCGAAGCTGATTGTCACTAACCCAACCGAGGTGGCAGCAACCCCACTGTTTGGGAAGTTTGGCTTTCTCCTAACCCATAGTTGTCGGGACATGCGCATTGCTTGTGAACTACCTGAAGTTCTCAGTGTTTCAAAGATATGAGTAATCTCCGATGAAGTATTACCCTCCAATCTACCCGATGATTACAGTGATGACCTCGCTATAAGGGACAAATTTCAGCTTGGCTGCTTCAGTATTGTGTTACATAGGTTTGCCAGTAAC